TGTTGACAGATTATCAGTTGACACCTCCATATTCAGCTGATTCAGATTGGGGGATAAGCGTATCACCAAGGCGGTATTGGAAGTTAGAGTAAGTGCATTTTCTTTTGCTGACGACAACTATAGTACTTTTAGCTGGGTTGTAGGTCAAACGCCATTTAGAGGCATATGACGACACGATGTCTAATGATGATTATAAACCTTTAGGTGATGCACTAATAAGCGTGGTATCGTCAGCAAGCAAGACTGCGGGAACATGCATACCGTATACACAAATACCACAACTGGCTTCTCTGAGAGAAGTGATAAGGTCATTTATAAAAGTAAGGAAGAACCAAGATGAAATAACTCTTCCTTGGCAAACACCTTGCTTGACACAATATGTGTCTGATCTCTCACCCTGGTAACAAACAAAGGATTCGCTATGAGTATAACAGTGATGTAAAAGATTCCAGGTATTACCGCTTATACCAATTTCGTGTAATTTATAAAACAATCCATCGTGCCAGATCCTGTCAAAGGCTTTTTCGTTGTCAAGAAAGGCAATGAAAACAGCAGAATCTCTATGCATATAAATTTTAATACTTTCAATGAGCGTGAATACAGACATAATGGCTCCATGTTGGCATCGAAAGCCAAATTGTAACATATCCGGAAAATCTGGCCTTGATTTTGATAATTTATGTTCGATTCTTTTAAGAAGGTGCCTTTCAGAAAGCATACCGAGACAAGATGTTAATGTGATACCTCTGTAATTTCGTGGGTCACTTTTGTCTTTTTTGCCTTGATATATTGGTATAACCATACCGAGTCTATATTCCTTTGGGGCATATTGAGAGGTAGTGATAGCATTAAATAGTTTTCATAGGTGGGTGGTGATAAAGTCACCTGCAAAGATAATGTGTTCATTTGTAATTATTCTACAAATATCAAGGGGTGTTGATCCACTCTCTTCCCCATAGGTAAGAACGGGGACATAAGTAACAGTTGCTCTCTGTTTTCGAATATTTTTATAAAAAGAGTTACATTTTAGCTGAAACTTCGATTTCTTTCAGCATTTCGTTTCTATTATGCCTTTTGGATTGTCGGAAAAGTCGCCGAAAGTTACTTTTTTCTTCTTCATAGGCTGAGCGTGATTGAGATGTTGGAATCACGAGGTTTATCATTGTTTACCCATTTGCATCGAGCAACGCGCATGCGGTAGTGAGCATCATTTAACCGGTCTGATTTCCGAAATATAACTGCTATGCGGTATTGTGTTGACACCTGCATGTAATAAGGCAGTGGTAATCATATCATTATACGTATCAATTGTGTTTTCCTGATGTTCGTCTACAACGGAAGGATAATGATATTGTATGTAATATTCAATTGAATATTAATAGGAGCCTATATCTTTTTCATTGGCTCTTCCCCATTTGGGAATACCGTAGTAATCTCCACGGTTGTACTGTTTAACTACGGGCAAGTCGATGGATATTAGGCAGGGTAGGTGGTCTGAAACACTGTAAGGGCATGCATCAATGGTTTGAACATCACTAATATAATCAGGCTTATACATGAGGAGACAAGTATATAGTCAATCATGCTTTGATGTAAGTTGTCCTTTGATCTATAGGTATATGTTGGTATGTTAAAACTGGTTGTGCTTAAAGCGTTTACGAGATTTCTTTCCGATAGCGCACTTTTTATAATCGCATCTCTTTGCGATAGAAGAGATTTACATACATCAGAGTTAAGGTCACCAAGTATAATTGCTGTACTTATCTCAGATAAATAATCATACACATCAAGTATTTCATTGAGAGCATTGCAGTAGGCTGCATGTAATACATTGGTTGAAGGTAAACGGCAACCAATTACATAAACATCACAGTAGCCTTGTCTGATAAGTTCAACCGCTATTGCGTAATCCGAGTGGACTGTTAGAGATTTCGCCCTCCACGGAGAGTGGGTATTTACTAATATAGCAAGTCCGTGAGATCCACGAGAACACGTTGAGTTAGCTTTCATACAGTTATATGTTATCAGATTGACGTTACTAAGAGAGTGAAGATGATGTAACTTGTCTAAGGGTAGCCAGTGTTCTTGTAAGGCCACTACATCTACATTCTGAGATAATATCTGATTGATGTATTCACTACACCCGGTTATCGTATACTATGTGGCCGACACTCTTCAACACAAAAACTATGTCTTTGTCTCTGATGTCAATCAACACAATTCCACATCCGTACTGACAATTCTGAAGCATTTGATCCCTGAATTCAAAAATAATTTTACTGATTTCTTTGAGAGGCATTTTAGAAGTTGTGAAGATGAATAAAATCTGATTTGTATGGATAGTCAACTTCTTTATTGCAATGAGTGCGACGTTTGGTGTAGGTACTAACACCGTTATCAAGAGAGAAGAGAAAGAGAAAATATTTTTATTTTTGTGTCACATGTTATATATGAAACATACATAAACTTAAAAACATTCAATAAAATATAACATCCGGCCATATGGCCTATGAGACACAAGGCACTATATTATATCTAAAACAGATAGTAGTAAATAAAATATCACAGCTTTGTAAGCAACAATGGAGTGTGGTATATATATTTAATTACATAACTACAAACTGCGTTTACAAATGGTTACCGAGAAGAAAGTGTTATAATTTGTGTTTAACATGTTGTACCATAAGACCCTTAATATAACATCTAGCCTGTGAGACACAAGCCACTACATTCTACCTAAAACAGAATAGAATATCACAATTCTATAAGTAACAGTGGAGTGTGGCATATTTAATTACATGACTACAAAGTGCGTTTACGTCTATTAAACATTTTAGTAACTAATGCAGCTAAGGGTTTTATTAATTTAACATTACCTAGCATATATATGGCCTGGTCGGAAGGTGGCAAGAGAGAAAAAAAAGGGTTAATATTTAGTACATTTTCCCACAAATCGTATCGTAAATCTGAATATAGTGGACAGCTGACCAAAAAGTGAACTTCGTCCTCAATCTTATTGCCATCACAATATTTACAAATTCTATCGTCTAAAGGTGTTTTGGGGCGTGTAAACCTACTGACCTCAATTTCAAGAGGTAAGGTGCCACATCGTAACTTGCTAAGTGTACTGCGATTAGATCTAGGCAGAAGTTCAGTGACATATGGTTCAGCTGTTAATAGTTTCTTAAACTTTCTGTAAGTACGGAGTTTATTCCCGTTAGGTTTCCCTCGGTCGTTCCAAAGTTCTTTATTTCAGTCCTGACAATCTAATGATCGTATCCACAGTGAGGCATAATAAAAGTCCATTTTAGACATATTATATAGGTCAACCAATCAAGTGCTTGATAACGGTGTTAGTACCTACACCAAACGTCGCACTCATTGCAATAGAGAAGTTGACTATCCATACAAATCAGTTTTCCTTCAATTTTACTGATGCCAAATGTCTGCACTACTGGACAGATAGTCCGTCGTCTCAGTATCGTAACCGATTCATCTTTGATGTCATTCTGCATCACAAGAGCTATTCGATATGGTGCACGATGGAATTACTTTGAGACTGACCATGGCAAAGGACCTTGCGATGGACTACGTGGGTCAGCAAAACGACAAGCAGCAGACGCCGTCAATCAAGGCAAAGTTACCATCCAGGATCCACATGACTTCTATCAATTGGCGAAAGATAATACAAAGTCAATCAACTACCGATTCTACACTTTGGATGATATTGAAAGAACAGCAGCAGAGATGGCAACGTCTTCCGCAAAGGCCATTCCTGGAACTATGAAGCTACACGCAGTCGTACTAGTGAGAGAGAGTTTTTTTTTATTCAGTAAAGGGGCCACAGGCGAATTAGGTGTCCTCCCATTACGCAGACAGCCAGTTCGCAGACACCTTAAAACAACAATATTTACGGCCCAGTGAACAGATTATCTACTACCTGTTACCTATACATTATAATGAAATAGTCCAAATAATAACACAGGAACAAACTGAAGCTATGTTATTTATTTCGAAAGATGGACAAAACGACAGCAATTTGAACTTTTACTGCTGCAAAATAAAAACAGTTTATTTTCATAAACATTTCGGTTTACCCTTCTAGTCTAACGGGAGTCGGCATCATCAGATTGAAAACATTAGCTTAGCTATTAGAAATTGCGACACTTATGCATCATATAAATAGAATAGAATAGAATAGAATAATACTTTAATGCCTTTTCAGGAATTTGTGTTACATCAGCAGAGCTACTGACACATTAGAGAGATACCAAACATATTTACATAAATTCTTTGATTTAGGTATCTTCACATTTGTTTAAGAGAGATATGGTACTTGGAATAAAGGATGTACGGGCTCTCTTAGTTTTCACAGTTGGAACTTTGTAGCGGCGGCCTGAAGGGAGAAGGTTGTATTCCGAATTTAAGTAGTGAGTACGGTCAGATATGATTTTGACAGCTTGGTTTACGATTTGCCGCTCATATATTGATGATAAACATTCAAATCTGACTCCAGCGATTTTACTTGCAGTGTTAACAATTTTGTCTATTTTAGATTTGAGATGAACTGAGAGAGACCCGTACCAACAATGGAAGGAAAATGTTAAAATACTCTGAATAAATGCTAGATAAAAAGATGACATCACAGATGGGTTAACATTAAAAGATCTCAGTTTACGCATGAATAAATAAAGACAAATGTGAACCTAAATATTATTCATATGGAATAAAGAAGTCATATGCTTTGCACACAATATTAAGATATATGACAAGTGCACTTAATTACGATTTATTTAGAATAAATATTAAAAAAATATGACGCATCATGTCAATGTGGCCATGGATGTGAGAATGTTTTTCATTACTTCTTTGAACGAACTCTTTTCACACTTACTGTGTTTTTAACGATATATGCAGCGCCGTTGAGCTTCTGTTATGGAAACTAGGCTCTATACAAGCCAATTATTATTATTGTGTCCATTGTATTACTACTCAAAAACATAACTGTTACAATCTTAAACAGTATTGTTAAAATTAGAACACTGATTTGTATTAATCGTATCTTACATGGCAATGCAGGTGTCTCATTCACTGCAAATCAGAATGTTTTCGAATATGTACATATCTATATCTCTCTAACAAAACGTTTTCTCAGTTAACTTCTGTTGTACATATGCTATTATTGGGAGGGGTCTTTTCTATCAATAAACACAATCAAACCTCTCAGTGACAAACCTGTCTTTATATTCGATAGTAATTGGTAGTAAAATCAATTTTGAGAATAGAAATCATTATCATTTAATCACAACAAAGTTCTATTTATCCACAATCCAACTTCTCAGTAACGAACCTGTTTCAGGCTCACCCTGCTCTACTCACTAGACAGTGGACTGTTCCATTATACCCGTAGGTGTTACCCTAATTCACCTTCTAGTTCAGTGTCTGCAAATTGGGTGTCTGTCAAATGGGTGTCTGTCAAATGGGAGATAACCGCGAATTATACATCAGGTGTACAGAATATACAATCATTAGAGCACCGTACAACATCATGGGAGCTGCATAATTATACATTTGTGGGTACGAAGACTCATGGTAAAAAATAGATATTTTGCAAGACAATTTATAATATACGTATTCTTTGATGTAAACAACTAAGCTAATTTCACTTCAGATGGATATATCTGATAATATTTAGGGAGGATATCATTTCTTAATTTCCCATAAAAAGGGCATTCCAGGCAAAAGTGATATTCATTTTCTATGTTAGGTATGATACAAAGCGGGCACAGACGATCCTCCCTTTTAAGACCTAAATGTCTACCGTACTCTATCATCAAATTGTGGTTTGAGCAACGAAATCTACTTAAGAAGATTCGAAACTGTTTTACACTAACACTATCGATATAGAACTCAAAAGCTACACCTTCTTTGAGCCTGCGATAAAAATCCAACTTCGAAACAAGTATACTACGAGATGACCACAACTGGTTATCTACATCAATACATCTTTGCTTAAATAATGATATGAAAGTAGAGATATTTCCAACACTTTGACTGGCCCACACATTGCCAAAACCATAACTGTACAAAAGAGATTCACCTTAAAAGCCCAACAATCTATACCTTTTTCAGCAAGGCAATACTGATACCCATATACCTTATTTAAGATTACATTCTCAACTTGAGACAGGAGGCGAACCCAATATTTAACAATCTTAATGTACTGATTTACCTTTGATGAATAACGACCAATCTTAGCACGCGCTGCAATATTTGGCGTGTATCTTGGAAGACCCAAAACCTGTTTACAGAACCTATCGTGTACATTCAATACAGATGGCGACGGGTGGAAACCCCAGACTTCACTTCCGTATAGTAACAATGGCAAAACCTTGACATCAAATATATGGAGCAGAACATCAATTGGTAGATTATAAAAATTCTTAACCGATGATTTGAAAATATTAAACACCTTTCATGCTTGGTCAGCCAAAGTTTTCTGTGTAACATACCACAGATCCAGAGGAAGAGAAGTATTTATATGGTGCAACAATTTCAAGCAACTGTCAATTCAAATGGAACTTTTCTTAATGTCTTAGTCGACCAGCCTTCCTGAATACAATAACTTTACTTTATCAATATTTATTTTCAATTTCCACTTGTTACAATACGAAACTAGCTTGTCTAGCCTCTTTTGCAGACCTATAACTGTAAAGTCAAAAAGCGCAATATCATCAGCAAACAATAGGATGAACAGCTCAACTAAGTCTAGATTGATACCCCTCTGACCATCAGCAGATAGACATTCAACAATGTCGTTGACAAAGAAGGAAAAGAGAAAGGGAGACAACTGGCATCCCTGACGAACTCCTGATAAACAATAAAAAAACCGGTTTGTAACCATCTCTCATCGACACACAAGCTTTAACATTTTGGTACATATTTTTCAATAGCCTGTAGGTATTACCTTTCACATTGCCATGCCAGTTTGTAAAGGAGACCACACCTATCGACTTAGTCAACAGCGGCCTTCAAGTCAATAAATGCACAATAGAGGCGACCTTTGTAAAGTGAAAGATATTTGTCAATTATAGCATTAAAAATGAATATATTATCATGTGTTTGGAAACCATTCCTGAACCCAGCTTGCTCGTCAACGAAGAATTCTTCCCTTTCAGCCCAAGAGTTTAACCTGTTGTTGATAATTTTACAAAATATTTTACCAGTTACTTCAAGCAGTATAATAGGTCTATAATTCCCAGGGCAATCAGTCTTACCTTTTTTATACAAAGGAATAGTTGACGGTGTTCTACATTCGAGAGATGTGTCCTGCCATTGTCGGGGTTGCTTTCGTGCAGATGCATTATGTGCAAACTGGCGGTCTCATCCTGCAGTGAATGCACGAAACAGAGATCCAATCTTGCCTACCGAAATACCATCATCTGCCTTTGTTGTAGAGGCAGGACGGTTTGTAGCAGCAGTCTACGACAAAAGAATGGTTTGTTGGAATGGTCGTGGAGGTAGACACAAAAGATTGTGATGCAAAGGTGTCATTTATGGAACAAACCCATGGAAAGGGGAAAATCCCTACTTTCAAGTGGCCATTTCGGCCTGATGAAATTTGGGTCAACTTCAGTGATATTACATGCTACATTCACAGCACCAAAAAACCGGATACTAAACCATTGAAATAAACGTAAATACAGTAGGAAATACATGCCATGACCAGGTTTACGTATGTTCTCAGATATTTCCTAACTTCGGGCATATATTTCATATGAATCTATACCTTTGAAACATATGCTCATCGTACATTTTCGTATGCACAAGCACCTCGTTCATGTATGCCCTGACCGGATTGTCAGGGATTTCCAAATATGAATTTCAAAACAGATACCCCGTTTAATACATAATCATACAGTATTTCCAATGCATTCCTTTGAATTTCAATGGGTGCTGAAATTTCCGATTTCGTTCTAAGTTTACTCGGGTTGGAAACATGTGAATTTACTTAGGTGGGAAAACACATGTAAATTTTCAAATTTGCAAATGTTTACACACCTTAGATATTTATGTATCATACCGGATTTCAGGGGTATGTATATGAACGGTTCATACACCATCATGTTACCTGTACTCAAGCAAGATGATCATGTTTCCATCATGTGAATTACTTGGCTCATGTAATTTCACTTTCACACATTTTAGTACGTTTGAAATCAACGTTCACGTGACCTCAATATTCTTATCACCAAAGAGCCTGACAAAGAAAGCGGTATTACGCAAGCTAACACGCCTTATTAAGCTGCACTCGCTCTTGCTACCAGTATCAGTAACGCCTTGTCTGTGGTGTTGGCAAATCTTGTGAGGTGCATGTTTCGAGGGATTGAAAGGTTCAGTGGTGAACAAGGGCGATGCGTTGCCCCTTTGTCCTCGCAAGTGTCCCTAGCTGCCCCAAAAGAATAGCACTTTGTCTCTCTTGGAGCACAGTCAAACATGCTACACGAACCAACTCGTAATTTCGTAAGTCTGTTCAGCTCGCGCATCTACAGTAAAATATTTTGTGGCAGTACATAATTGGAATATTATTGCACTGCACGTGACCTTCTTAATAGTCTCACAGTGCCTGAACCATGTTATTTTCCATTCGCTCAGCCTTTGCTGTAATAACGCCATACATAAACTTTAAAGTTTGTTTCACTAACGCAAAAGTATACAATAAGAAACAATGCCAAATCAAATTATATATTCTGTGAGACATGAAATGAAAAATTGTTTTTATCGAGTAGCGATTATGACCGGATAGCACAGGCGGGTGCGTTCTCTGAGTATATCATAGACATGTTGGATCTCCGTGCCTTTTGTGAAATTCGTCTATATTGTCCTGTTTAAACTGACGACCCATAACTCAGATTGCGAGTAAATATCACGTAAGTAATTGTGATGTCGCATTGCTGTAAATTTCCCTGTCGAAAAAGTCATTCTCACAAGATGTATATTCCCTTGTTTGGAGAAGATCTATGGCTATTACGCCCCAGTGTTGCTAAACAGTTTATAGGCCTTTAGTCTGACACAGACGCGGACATCGCATGTTCAAGTTCTGATCTGACAGGGGCTGAAAATATCATTCCGACATGAATACAAAATCTCAGTGTTTTCCTAAGTAAGTGGAGATCTTTCTACAACATTGGAAATAACTGTATCGTTGTCCTTCTGATATTCCCCCGAACGAAAGCTCTACCCATTTAGGGTACAATGTGTAAGTTACAGAATTGTAGGGAATAGTCTTAAGACTTTTCTACTTTGACCAGGATTCTTCGAACTTTTAACAGTCGTTTAAGAAGATCAAAAGAGAAAAGGGTAGTGCACGATGTATATGACGGACGTATATGGAGAACGTTCGAAGAACTTTATAAATACAATAATAGAAATACCGGTTATGTTTAAAACGTACCTTCAATCTGATAGCCAGAGGGATTATTGTGAAAGATCGCAGTATGTATCATCATAAACGGGCCAAGATAAAAGTACATGTCATTCATCTCCACATTATATCCCTTTTATAGACACGGGACATCGTTGTTACAGGTAGGGCAAACACTTTCTTCTAAAGTATCTGCCGGTTTCACGCTACATACATGTGTTCAGATTATCGAGAAAACTAGCGACGCAAGTTCTCCTCCTTCACACCAGAGACCACATAATCTATCATATGGCCTTTGATCACACATATAATTGTATAGATACCCAGTGTTCATTGATAGCGATGAAGCAACTTATCAAAATTTACAGCCGACAGTATCATCTGCATTACTCTTTTACATAAGGTGAAATATCACAGGGTTGTCATGGTAACGATAATTTGGCATACTATTTATTGTGTTATTCTTTAATCTGTGATTAGAATTTAAATCAGTTTTGACGTGAGCATGTTAAGAAAGGAGAAGCTGTAAAACGAAATGTACTGTGATCGAACCAATAGGCCTTTTTAAAAGCGAGTTTCAAGCCACCTACATAAAAACCTGTTTTCATGATAAGTATCTGCTCATCCGTGGCGTGATTCCGACCATATCATGGGCATGTGTTTGTGAATCATAATCAAA